CAAAAAAACACCAGATCGGCTCATGTCGTGGATGGCATCAGGAACGCAGTCAAGGGGAGTGCCGACGGGTCATTGCCCTCCCACTCTTGAGCCAATAGGCTTGTACCAGATGCTGGGCGGTATCGCCGGAAGCTGGTCCAGAATCGCAGGAATTTACAGACAGATTGGCATTGGCTTCCCCTTACGAGACATTTTGGCTGCGTGCTTTGATAGCATATCAGTTTAGTCACACTCTACCAGCAAGACCAGTGGTTGATAAGATTCTGAACATTTCAGAGGATTGTGGTGATGTGGAATCCAAAACATGGGCACATATTGCAAGCCAGCGGCAGAGGTGTTGGAAAGAAAGAGGCACGAGATGGCACCTGCCGCCAAGCACAGAGCTAATACATTTTTCCGTCTCCTATGTGCAACACGCTAACGTAAGAGGGTGTCAAGGACATGGAAAATGTTAAAGCCGCGCTCGTCACCTCAAAGCAGTCCAAACCACATTGCATGCGACTTAGACAGCCGTCTTGTGGCTGGTTTGCGCTGGGCGAGGACAAGATATTGTGATAGACGATGAAAGCTGCTTCACCCGTGTTGAAAGTGGTATGCTGGTCAAGAGAGACTGGTGTATTGGGAAAGCAAGCTGGAGATGCTCCTGATCAGACAAGACTGCGACCTTCTGGGAAGTTACCGCAATAGTGACTCGCATAGGCGGCTCTCCCCCAGAAAAGGTTATTTATGTCCGAGCGCGGCAGATGTGACCGAGACCACGTACCACCAGAAGTACAACCTTCAGTGGTGCCGGTGAGACGGCTGGGCTTCCGGACAGGCCGCCAAGTCCAGGCCAAGATTGAGATGTCCCTGCTTCGCCCCTCACGTGGGCCGCCTAGAAAGCCACGCAAATGTGTCAGTTAGGGCTAGTGAAGGACTTTCGGGATTTTGTCAAACAGAAGTGCACAGGGTCGGCTGGAGGGTCATTTACAACAACCAGCCGAAATATTGTACTCCACGGGTACCAGATACCACTGACGAGAATATGCCACCCAGCAGTATGGGGACGGGAGAGCACGTGGGCGATGCTGCGCGGCATGAAGTGAACCATTCTCAGCACTACTGTGGTGCACTTGACAACGTCCTTCGTAGCGTGGAAGCCAAGCCTCATGACGACATCATCAAATACAATGGAGTACCTGTTTTTCGAACATTTTCCAAACAGTAAGTGATGGCCTCTTAATAGTTAATCATAAACGTTGTTTCGTTGTTTCTTTTTGCTAACCTTGTTTTGTTGTTCTTCGCTCATAATACATAGCTTACATGGAAGAGTCATTCTATCATTCCAACGAGTGTGTGTGTGTGTGTGTGTGTGTGTGTGTGTGTGTGTGTGTGTGTGTGTGTGTGTGTGTGTGTGTGTGTGTGTGTGTGTGTGTGTGTGTGTGTGTGTGTGTGTGTGTGTGTGTGTGTGTGTGTGTGTGTGTGTGTGTGTGTGTGTGTGTGTGTGTGTGTGTGTGTGTGTGTGTGTGTGTGTGTGTGTGTGTGTGTGTGTGTGTGTGTGTGTGTGTGTGTGTGTGTGTGTGTGATGGTCGTTCTCTACGCATGAGACTGTAGTGAACGCATCACTTGAATCGTCGTGAATCGTCCACACCCAATCGTTACACACGTCGGTCGCTCGGGACAATGAGGCACAGATAATGCACCTTGCCCGCCTCAAACCGTCCCAATCTAAACGTCGGGTTAGTGAGCTTATGATTGTATGGAGACCAGTTTCCGATCTTGTTCGATTGCGCATGTTTTCGTATCTATCCAAGCTCTTATGTGTGAACTCGAGAATCACAGCAGACCTTTGCACTAACTTTCTCACTGTCTGACTAATCGTAATTCGATCTTCCCAACCATAAATTTGTGAATTCGAGTAATTGCCAATTCGACTTGCAAATACTTCCCCCACGCAAATTTGAAATGGATAAATGCGACGCGCGAGAAATTGGACGCGAGTATTGTGTATACGAATATTTACATGGACCAAGGGAACGTTACGAAGAAAGGTGTATGCGAAGAAATGTATTAGGGGATTGGCGGATGCGAGGAAATACCATACGCGTACTTGCGCGTGCAAATTAATGCGTGCACAAATCAATGCAATGCGACACATTTATTTGCGTCGCATTTGTTATTTTGTCAGTGTGCTAGAATTGCCGACTTTGGGTGCAAAGCAACATCCTATGAGGAGAAATTTTTCACTCCTTTTCCCCATATTTGGTGCGAGTTTTTCACTCCTGCCTGGTATTGTCTAACCATACATACTAAATACACATTTCTCTTTCACAGCTTTTAAGATGTCATCCGAAACCGAGCTCACTTGAAACCATCAGGCATAAGCAATGCTACACAAAAACTGGACACCCAGTGTTTGCTGATTTTTGGCACCACCTTTTCGACTTATAAATTTTGCGGTGAAAAACAACTGGGCTAACTTGTACACCAAGTGTTGTGCTACAAAACTATGTCGTCACGAAGCTCCACTTGTGTTAATGAAAATTTGCGGTTACGAAGCTCGCGTACACAAAAAGAGGTACGAAGATATGCAGCGCAAAAGTTATGCCTCGCAAGGAATTACGCTAATTTCAATGCGAGTTTTTGTCCAAGACTCCCACTGTCAGCAGATGGGAAGGCGTCACCCGCACTGCCGGCGGATGGTGAGGCGTCACTCACACTGTCGGCGGATGGGGGGAGTTACTCCCACTGTCGGCGGATGGGGAGGCGTTACTCACACTGTCGGCGGATGGGGAGACGTTACTCGCGCCGCCGTCGGCGGGTGGGCGGGCGTTACTCACGCTGTCGGCGGGTGGGCGGGCGTTACTCACACGGTCGGCGGATGGGGAAGCGTCACTCACACTGTCGGCGGATGGGGAGGCGTCACTCACACTGTCGACGGATGGGGAGGCATCATTCCCACTGTCGACGGATGGGGAGGCGTTACCCACACTGTCGGGGGATGCGAAGGCCGGTGCGATGATCCCTTCAAGCAAGATGTTGTTCATGTCTGAAGAGGCCTTAACTTCCATTCTGTACGAGGGGAACGGTGGCTCAGGTGGTAAACAGTTGGGGGCAGGCATCGTGGCTTTACGACGCACTCAACTACTGAAGCTATATGGGGTCGCCTGCCTCTCACCCTGACAGGAAGAGCGGGCGCCGCGAGAAATCGAACCCCATATCTTTGGTTTCCTAGACGCACACTGATTAACGCAAACTCGTTAACCATTGCACTATCGGTATCCTAAAGGTGGTATACAATAAACTATGACTACCACCCTGTAACTACCACCACCCAAATGACCTCACTAGTAATGGCGAAATGTCAGGGACTCGGCGACTATCTTAATTGCTTTCAGCTAATTACGAAGAAAATGCCCTGAAAATTGCTGATCACGTTAGTTTTGCAGTCAACTCTTTTCAGATATCACTTCAGGGTTGACGCTAAGCCTTCACGACAGGTGTGGGGCGACGTCATCTGCTCCCACCGCCCATTCCCTTCTTAAGCTCTTACGTTTGTGTCCCAGGCAGTCACTCTGTCTTTCCGGTATTCAGCCAGGAGGCGCCGCCAGGCTTCGCTTCTCCCTGGCGAGGAGGCCTGATCACATCTGGCCCCGCCATATCTCTAGGAACTGGGGCTCCCTTTGCTTCTCCCTGGCGAGGAGGCCTGATCACATCTGGCCCCGCCATATCTCTAGGAACTGGGGCTCCACCTCCGCGAAGCTCATCGCGCTGAAGATGGAGCGACACGCCATAAAAGAATGTCTGGAATGGGGAGAGGGCTTCGCATGCTATCTGGGAGAGGGACTACTCCCACATCCAAATCCGTCGTGTTGTAGCGGTGGTAAGGCATGCGATTTCGTTGAAACATGAGTCGAGAAAAGCATATGTCTCAGAGTAACTGAACAGTGCAGATCCCATGACTTGAGCTTTGATACCATTGCCAAACAAGAATATTTACTCGACCAGAAAGTCTGTTTTCTTTTCGAGCAGGTCAGCGTGAGCTTAAGCCAGTGATATCTGCGCTCGCTCAAACACTGGCAATGCTGCTAATCGGACGCAGGGAGCTGAAGCTGACACGCGCGGAACAGATGCTTCGGATGACGTGAGGGAGATGGTCAATTGCATTTGTCTCAAACAACGATGCATATGAACAGAGAAGCAAGTCCAGCAGGGTTATTTTGCATGCCTGAAGATGTTTATTGTGCGAATAGATGGGCATCAATTGGCAGTGCTTATGATCATGTGCGTGAAAAATGCACGCGCGCAACGACCATCATTTCACGCATGGCTTTTAATAGGTTTTTTTGCGTAAAACGTCTGTCATCGTCATCGAGCTCGTCGTTAAGATATAGGTCACTACCGCTCTGGCCATGCCCCCGGAGTAATCAGTTGAAACATATTCAAGCATCCGTCCTATGACTGACCGCCGGCCAATGCACGATGGCATAGTTGCCTTACCTTACAAGAATGCACGCTGAAGAGCAGTGTTCAAAACATGAAAGACCAGGCACGAGAAACGGTGCGGGTTGCAGCCAATATTTCGGTGATCACCGAAACCGCTGGGGAAGGGAGGCACTCAACTTCCTCCTTTCAGGCACGGGTAAATGTCAAGTTTCTGTTTAGTGGCGAGGGCGATTCAAGCTCAGTTAATGACAAGTTGTAACAGCTCATAGCTCTAATCCGTTCATTGCGCGCCGTCCGAGCCCGTCTCCTTGCGAATCACGTCAGAAAAAAAACGCCTTTTGACTAATCTCTGAGCTGGTACGGGGTTGGATATAGTTTTAAAAGACAACGTGAGTAAGTCGAAGTGACACGCAAAATATGTTTGTTCTTTTATGGCAAGGATTCACCTGCTTCCGTTGCTATAACAGTCCGTATAATTGTTGTCCTCGTAATAACAGCGTACTTTCTCTCTGATTTAGGGAGTTTCCACGAGTTTTTTAAAAACTAGAATGGGTGTAACCGCAAGCAGGGATTATAGCCATCAGATAAACCACGTGTCCGGCATAAGTGACGCAATTCACAGCAATGTGAACAACAAAATAAGCCGGACCTTGATAGACGGGGGTCACACCAATTCCGGTTTCGGGTATGTAATGCTCGTCACCAACACGCTTAATCTGCTAAGAATAAACAACGAACAGGTGCTCTTTCGCAGAGGTCATTTTTGTGGATGCATTACACCTATCTGCCTTTCAGATTGTGCGCTGCTAAGACGATGAAATGCAGGCGAGCAACGCCCATTATAAACCACTATTGGCTAACAGTGGTGTAGCCAGGAATTCGCTCAAGGAGGGGGGGGGGTCAAATCGGGTCATAGGTGGCCTTCCAACCAAAGGGGTCTATTCGCTGTTTGGGGCCCTTGTGTTGGGATTTGGGGACCTGTTTAGACTCGGGGCTATTCTCATGTCATGGAGACTCGTTTTGTATGTTTTAGAAGCCCTAGGATCGCGCGTTGTTTTTCTTGGCAGCTCAAGATTTGGGCGTCTTATGCTGCTAACAAATGCTGGGTTCCGCCACCTCCAGGGTAGGGACTTTAAAAGGATCCTGGCTAAGCTACTGTTGACTAACGCACCTGTGATACAAGCAGGGTGCGTTGCGGAAGCACTACTGGCTGTCATGCGCTATATAGTCTTACACATCCGCTGCGCGTTTTAGATTTCGGACAGATCGACTAAATCCGCCTTGGCAATACCTTGTTTTACGTGATGTGGCATGCCTATGTGCTTACACTCACTGCACACTATATCCTCTAACGCTTCATATACCTGCGCTGTGGTTAAACAACGCATGCAATAAGATTTATAGTTCTAAGACTATGCTTCTTAAGACTGATCTAAACGCCTTGGTTGGGCTCATAATCTTACCACACAATGCTTATTGTTCATGCTTGGAGCCAACCAAGAAGGTTGCTGTAACATTTCGTGGCACAAATTTGCCGCCTTTTTGGCCTCAGTCTTCTAGCCGACTAGCCACACAGGGTAGTAGAACAAATATTCCAGTACTTACCCAGCTGCAACGCAGCCACCCAGCGTGGAGCAGACAATCGTAGGACATCTGCCTGACCGACACTTCTACAAACAAATCCCTGATCAGGGTAAAGAATGGAGCTCAAAAAGCGGTGGGTGTTTACTAGACACACGGTTGCTGAGTGAACCAGGTGCCGCTTTCTAGGGCCTCGAGGCCCCGGTGGCAGGAGTTCACAGTGCATCCCGGGGGTGTCACAATTGTGCGTTACCCTCAGCCGAGAAATCCGGTTTTGGTCGTCGGAAATCAGCTCCGGGTTGTCGCTTTTCCAGCAGCGGACAGTTCGTGGAGCTCCAGTGACCAGTTTTGCATGCAGTGCGTACTTTCCAGCGTAATCAGTAATTCGCTCTTCAGTGGCGCCGAAGCAGATAGTAAACCTGGTCAGCAGTGGGAAATACCGTTACCAGCCGGCCACCGCCGGAGTATTTCGCCAGCCGCCGCCGTCTGAGGTTTTAAAACAGGCTCCGTCCCTGGTATCTCAGGATCTAATCATCGTGTTGGGTACGTCAAAACGGTGTAGATACCTCCAGCTAACATCATCCATGAATAGCCTAGTCGACACCTGTCGCATGGCTGATGTTGTCACAGGTCGGGTCTAAACATTATCATCACAGGTCATAAAGATTGCAAGTTATGCCTGGTGCTTAAAGACCGCAAAAATCTTCGAGGGTCTCCATCGTACGTAACATGGGTAATATAAATATGTACCCGGTACGAACGAGCGACCTCACTCTTGCCCTTCAGAAGAGCGCTGTTAAGACAGATCAAGGGTTCAACATCAGGCAGATCAAGTTCTAGTGAAGTCAATGTCAAATCACCCAATAAGAATCATGTTGCATGCCCAGCCGGTTCAAATATATGAAAGTCACTTGTTAAAGAAGTGGGTCAGTTGTACCGACACTCACAACAAATGGCGCAGTAGGTCACTTTGGTTTAACACCTGCAAGTTGACCACACATGGTCCCTGCTTATCATATGATGTCAGGTCAAGTCATGCATTCTCATCACGTCGATAAATCCCCTCAACAATAAAAAACAAGACCAACTGCGAATCAATGTGCATGGTAGGGCCCATCGAGGGTTATTTTTGGGATATGGCCTCGTGTGCTCCGGCTAGCCCAAACTCTTATCCGCCAGCGCTCCAATTTTGGCATTTATCATGCAAATCCCACACAGTCTCACTCACCTGAAAAATATATTGCCAGAAACCTGTCACAGTCCTTCAAAAATGGTCATACGAAACTGTGCCAAGGCAGTTTAATGTTCTGGACTTTTGCATGATTTGGTGTACATTTTACGCGCAAACATAAACTAAATTCCCTTTATTCATTCATCTTGATTGTAAAAAATTGCGTCGCCAGTTGCCATCAACAGGTGAAACCCAAAGTAATTAGAAGGCTTCTCGCCTGTTGGCATGGGAAGATGATAATGTATTGTTATCAAGAACCTTGACGCTGTTAATCCTGTTCAAGTTATTGTAGCTTATACATCACATGCGCCGCCACATTTCAGTGAGAAAAGTTAACTTTTGACTGAAATAACGTCATAGGCATGGCAAAAGTATTTTACATTTCATCCCTTGCCATAAGGCAGACGTTTTGACATATAACACTGAAACATTCAGGAGTATTCCTGCAAGTTGTGAACAGCAGCCCTAGACAGCCACACCAAATGTCGATAATAGCAGCACCTGTTCAGCGGGTTATGAACAAATACCAATATACCCCAACTGCAAAGAGCAGTATAACACCCTCTGGCATGTCTTTTGAGTGGATAAAACGTATATCGCGCCAAAATTGTGACGCATCAGGTGTGTTTGCCTGCTGAGACACAACAACTACGAAAATAGTTCTAATTGAGACCATTTCGCCCTACGATCACAGTTTAATAAAGTGGTACATGTTAGATAATGCGCATAAGAATGAGAAAGATGCTTCGTTTTGAACCCCTTTGCTACAAGCCCTGCAAGACTGCTCCGTGTTGTTTTTGCTCACACCATAGGTGGAAAACTAAATTGTTTTGTAACTAGCCGCTCGTTGTACGGTTGCAGTTATTGACACGTAGCTAATTCAATGTCAGTTTATGTCCTACACATTAACTGTGCTGTGTTTAGATATATTTATTTTGTTGTGATTGTTTTGCTAACGGAG